GTTCGTAGTCGCATTTCTTGCCATAAATACTATAATTCCAGTGGCTTAGCATAACTATAGTTTATTAAGCGGGAGGGGTTACAGTTTTAAATGAAATGTGTAAAATGTTTATAATATTTAAACTAAATTAAAATAATAAATAATTAAAAATATAATTGTTCTATTAATAATAAGTTATAAATTCGTTATCTACCATTGTGATCTCCCACAAAGAATACAGTTGGTTGGCAGAGGCCATTGATAGTTAGAGCAGTAGTAACCATAGCGCTCACCTACAGTTCATGAATACAAAATCGGACAATTGGTCGAGCTTGGTCATTTTATCCGACTCGGAAAATGTTGAATTTCTAATCGCCTTTTTTACCTTGATATACTCCACCGAGAGAGTGCCCCTTTTGGCCGCCATTTCGCGACTAATCGGGGGTCGGGGCGGTTGGGCGACTACCAGGGCTGCATGGGTAGGGTGTATTTGATCTAGCTCAACAAATTGCGCGCAAGTGTCTCTCTGTTTCAAGTGGGCAAACGTCCCGTTGGCCACCAGTTCATCAAATAGTTGGTCGTCTGGGGGTACGGCCGACAGGTCTTGTCTCAATTGAAAACTATGCGCCACACGCTGCCTGCGAAATTCACCAAGCTCATTATCTATAAATTTCATTTTGTAATTATTAATCAAGTGCTTGACATAATTGATTTATACCCTGGTATGTGGTGTTTGGGCCGTCATTCACCGCCAATACGCTAACGTTATAACGACCGGCACCGCAAAAGTTGGTAAAATAGTTATAATAATAACCATCGGTGTGATAGCGGTCAAGGGGTGTGTGGGTTTGGGTGCCATCCGGCCGGTCCACCGTAGCGGTCAGGTGGGCGCCCAACACTGATCCACCAGCTTTGTCCAGTCGGCACACCAACAGTGGTGGGCAGTTAGCCTCCTGGCCCCTAATACCTACGTACAACTCAATGGCCGCCGCATTGCCAGTGCCAGACATTTCACTCTCGACCACCACCTGAGCCCTAATGGCTTTGCGTATAACACCCGGCTGTTTGGTGAGCACCAGTCGCCAGACTCCCGGCGCGCATTGCCTGACATTCAACCTAGCGCGTTTCAAACTATCATCTATGACAAACTGGTCGGCCATAGCGCCTGCGGGTGACTCAAACGTGACAATCAATGAGCCGATGTCGTGCGATAGCACCTGTACGCTAGTGTTACGGCCAATGTCCCGGTCGATGGGCACCTGTACTACGGTATGATCGCTGTCTTCCGCAACGGTGACGATATCGTTGTACACACCGATGATTACGACTTCGGCCATTTCACGGCTGACCTTCACCTCTTGCATGGCTGCGCTCATTACCCGTTCGGCCATTTCCCTACTCTCCGGTCCGACATTGGGTAGGAATGACACGTTACCGCCCGTGGCCTCAGCTAAACGATCCAGATTGCGGTCCGCGGCGCGACCAATTGCCAAACATCTTACTTTTACCTAGATTTTAAGCACACACACACAGAGTTTAATACATAATATGTATGATTAGCCATAGAAATTAATTATTAAGCAAAATATTGTTGTTATAATTGTCGTATTTTACAATATGTATGTAACTTTTATGTAACTTTTAAATTCATAATTAAAATTTTACCTTGGCCGCTAACAGCACCGGCAAAACTTGATCCACATAATTACCATAAGAATGACATCCATCGGTTACCAGAAATATTACCGCCCCCTCTGTAACCACGTTAACCGCCTTCAATGCCTCCAAACCTTGCAACAACCCCATGCTTATATTGGTATTACCACGGCCCATTTGGGGCACAGCCTGTCGTAGCCGTACCCTAACATCTGGCCCAGTTATCTGTACCACCGGGTGGGCTGTCCAGGTCTGGTCGTCAAATAGGACAACACCCAAACGTTGATTGACCGGCGCGTCATCGATGTAGCGCCAGACGGCCATCTGTAGGCTTTGGGAGGGCAGACCTCCCATACTGCCCGACACGTCCAATACAAACACTACCGTTTGAGTCATTTTGGTGCTAGGTGGTTTCGAGTAGTGGCTAGTGTTACTGTTAAATTAACAGTGTTAATACATAATAATGATTTTTAGTTGGAAAATAACTTTATAATGAGAGAGAGAGAGAGAGAGAGAGAGAGAGAGAGAGAGAGAGAGAAAATTGAATTTTAATTAAGTACTTACATTGGNGAGAGAGAGAGAGAGAGAGAGAGAGAGAGAGAGAGAGAGAGAGAAAATTGAATTTTAATTAAGTACTTACATTGGGTAATTGGAAAAATTATTAATTATTATATGTTTAAAATGATATTAATTTTATGCCACAGAGCAAGTAAAATATTATAAACTTAAATATAATAGTTGAACATTATACAAATTTTGATGTAAGTTATATGACATACCAATCAAAATTAGTCATGTAAATAATGTAATATTATATTTTTAGTTTTCAAAAGCAAATTTTTATATTATTATTTCAGCAACATTTTATTAATAGTTAGAACGTGTGTTAATACATACAATAAATTACATGCATATGAAATTTCATGTATAAATAAAAAAATAATATAATTAATTAAATAAATAAAATTTTTATTTTCGGTTATTTATTAGTTTTTAATTAGTTAACTATATTTTATAAATAAAATAAAAATGTGGCATGATAATAAATTAATTTTAATTTAACTAACACGTTTTAATCAGGAAAAATATTTTTTAAATAACAAACAACAATTACACGGTGCTAACATGTAGGTTATATAGGGAATTACCTGTATGATATTTGTAAAACAATATGATAATTACTGTGAGAGTCTGTATTAATTCACGTTATTTGATTGCTTGATAATAAACTAAAACATAAATGTAGACTTTGAATAGTTTATTGCATGTTATTTGATATGCATTTTCCTATCATTTGAATTTTTATAATAATTGTTATAAATGTTTTATTTATCATAAGTTATACCGTATAACACGTTATACAAAGTGTTATATACTGTATTTTATTTGTTTTAATAAATATTGTTAAACGGATTATTAAAATAGTGTTTTATAATAATCACATAAAAATAACAGAAACAGGTCAACGTGACCATGCGTATATTTGATATTGCCCGCACCATTGACCATGGTCAAATTCAAGTGCAGCCCAATTCGTTAAATACTGCACTACAAAAAGCAGCCGACAAAATGTGCACAAAAATTGCCATGATCACAACAATATCGGCACCGTTCGCAGGCAGTACATTTACGGCTAATATGATCATGAAATACTTACAACAAACAATTAAACAAGATCAATGGCCCGCTGGTGAATATGTACACGAATGGGATGGTTTTCACGCCGGTCAATCATCATGTGAATTGAGCCCATTCATTCAGATATGCAGCGAACCGTTTGTGGTACAACTCGATGAACAAGATCGTTTGGCTATTTATCTGCTACATTGTAATCTCGGCAAACACTCATTAAAGAGTATTGGCCATAACAATGAGCTAGATAGTTTATGTAAATTTATATTCAGCGCATCAAACGCCACAATATTTATTCATAAACGCCCAGCGGTTAATGTATGTAATTTTATTAATTATAAATTAAGCACGAATTAATATTTATATTAATTTGTTATATTTTACAGACAAACAACACAAAACCGTTTAATGGAGATAAATATTTTGATTCGTTTTATACATATAAGCGACTATTGGATATAATTAACATTTGGGACGGCACTTACCCGGCTCAAAGTGGGCAAGATTTACCCAATCACAATGTGACAGATTTCATAAACTATCCGTGTAGATTTTATGCAGCGTCAAGTCCGTACGAGTCTGTAACAAATACGACCTGGATAATTGATAAACTAGATAAAGAGTTTATTAATAAACTAGGACAGTTTATAAAAACTGACTTATTTGGCCCTGAATCTCTACAATATGGCACAATATTTAACAATACAAATGACATATTGAAACTGGTTAACGATATACAATTAAGTTGTGGCAATAATCAGCTAAACAATCAACCAAAACAACATGATCAAGTTTCTAAAATTGTCCAAGATTCTGTATCTAGTGGTCCAAACAAAGTACTTGAAACTGACGTAGACGACGAGTCGACCATAACTAAAGTAATTGAATTAATAAAGGCAGCTGAAAAAAGTAAAAATACTGTCACCTATGCGGATGCGTGTTCTGCTAAAAACAGCCATCATTATAATCATAATAAATGCGCTGATATTGGTAAAAGGGAATATGTCAGTGAAATGTCACAGCTATTTGAAAAGCAAGATTATCTCGATAATAATGTATTGTACCAAGAGCATATAAAAATCAAAAATCAAACTTGGACTATTATTTATAACTGGCATTTAAATAAACATTATGGACCAGAAGTAACAGATTTATGTAAAACTGGTTATAACAGACTCATCGATGACGAGTTTGAGACATATCGAGCTCATAATAAGCGCCAATACCAGATTCAACAACTTAAAGTAAGCGTGGTAAATAAATTGACCAAAAATTACCATCATTTGTTTACGCATACACTGGACGAACACACATATTTAGAGCCTGATAGTACACGATAAGCTCGTAAACGAACAGGCTAATCAACTAAATGGAGAGACATTTCATTGGTATGATGATTTTATAAATAGCAATGTACAGGGTGAGCGTGCAATTGTCGAGCAAATAAACGCCGCTAAGTTTGGCAAATCGAGCACAATTGCCCTGCGCATTGGCCATGATCATTGGGGGTGCGCTTATTATGGCGGCAGAGATTGTGGCGTAATAAATATCACAGACGGTAAAAGTGCTGAATTTACAAACTCGATCGCTTTTGACAAGTTATCTGGTACGTTTTTGTACGGAAACGATGCCGTGAAACACTATGACCGTAAGCGGTTGTTTGATCTGGTTCAATTGCTGGCCACAAACTGGTTAATTAACAATTTAAAATACGTTTGCCCATTTAACTTTGAGTGGGCCGACAAGCAAAATGGCCTAAAAGTGGTCTTGGTCACAAATCAGGGAGAGTGTCGTCTCTATGTTGAGTCACTAATAGCGTTACAGGTGTGGCATATTAAACGTCGGGCGGCAGTCCAAGCGAACACGGTCATAAATAACACCGTGTTCATTGTAAAGAGCGATAACAAAATGGACATGTCCAGGTTTGAGGCTCGAATGGCCAGCGTGGCAGAGTTGGCCGGCTTTCATCAGGGTGGCGTAATCACCGAGATGAGTGCCGCCACCATTGGCTACACGTATGACGTGGACACGTGCGCGCCCTGTTTACCGGTGCCCATGTGTGCGCTGATGATTGTGTTTACCGGCGGGGCTCACTATCAACTCGCGGTGATCCAGATTAACGAGTCGGGCATGATGGTTTATATAACGCACGAGTATTGGGAACTAGGTTGGTCACGTAGTGGATGGACAATTGCAAGCCCCAAGACAAATTTTTTTGACAATATTAAACATTTACTTTCTATCCACACGCAGATTAGCGATATATTTGTCACTGGTACATTTAAACTTAATTTAATTAATGTAAAATAGTGTTAATTTTATTTACTAATCTGTACCATACTATTAACTAGATAAACACCATAAGTACCGCTACGACTATTCCTGGAATCATCATTTATTTGACAAAAAGACAATAAATTTTAAAAACGATCTAGATGACTCAATTATGCGTGGTGCGTTGATATACGGAAAGCTAAACGAAGTGCCCGATAAATCATTGAGCATAATCACTTTGTACCAGACCAAACCAGGTGAACAGTTGAGCGCAAGTCAAATACAACAAGAGTTGGCCATTTTAAATGAGCTACACGCATTTGACGAATGCGCCAGGCCAATTATCAGCGCACCCGGTGAGCGACCAAGCGTCAAATCATACGCCGATTCGGTGGGTAAAACTAACGCACCAAGCACAAGTGGGTACCGTCAATCAACCATAAGCAGTCGAGCAAAACAAACCCTAAGCGAAACAGAGTTGGCCCAACGTGTAGGCAATGCACTTGAAAATTGCCATGATAAAATTATAGCCAAATTACGGCATATTAATTTTGATTATTCTGACCATGATGCAAATGAATCGGCATTTTATCAAATTGAGAATGAAATATTAAGTGCATTCAAATCGGCAAACTTAAATCAAACAACTCAGTCACTTTACACACAGCACGAGCTTATGTTGGCCCAACAAATATCAGAAATGATCAGTAAACAACTCGGTGAATCACGTCAAATTGATGATGATAATAATGCTAAATGTACACAATTGATTGCGCAATGTGTTCAACAATTTGATGAGCGTATGATTGCTAAAATTGACCGAGATATTACTACTGGTTCAAGTATTGCGGATAATTGTAACATCGAGTTTAATCGAGTCAAACAAAATGTAATAGATGATTTTAATATAGAAGCAAAAAAGTCAATTAAAGGCCATTTAAATCTACGACATGTGAAAATTCTAGAGAGAGATATAAACAAACTCAATGAGAATTATCGCAGTTTATACAAATGTAATTCAGATTATGAGCAAAATTGTAAAAATTCAATTTATAACAAAAAGTGCCTGGATTGTATCAAATTAACTGAATTAAAAGCACAGTTAATAGCGCCCAATGTAATTGAAACAACACCTGAGCGAAAGGCATTGTTTGACAGATTGATTGCAAATACAGAAAACATTTATCGGAGAAAAATTGAGACAATTATTGACAGCGAAATGAAAATTGTGACGGAATTGACTGAAACGGCGCTTCAATCGTATAAAAAACACATCGAGTTTAAACTAAAATCAGCATTTTTTACCACGACCGATGTCCAGCACATTCACACTTGCATTGTCAATAACATTGAAGTATTACTAAACAAACAACTGTCTAATTTTACACCATGTATAGCGAAACACATTGAAAATAGTGTGACCACATTTAAAGAGCAAGCCGATAAGCATTACGCAATAATTGCGAAACCTTACCTGGATCAAACAAAACAGGCCTACGATATAGCGGTCAATATTGTCAATAAACTATACCGCGAGTATGTGGAGGGTGTGGGCCGGGAAGTGCACGATAAATTTATTGCACTAGATAAATTGCAAAAACTATTTGACCAACGCGTGACCATAATTGTGGATAAACTCAGCAAGAGCATGGACATTTTTGGCACCTGGGACAAATTTGTGGCCGAACGCCTTACACAGACAAAACGTGAACAATTGCGCAAAAAATTGAAAAATGTGCAGGGTGATTTACAACTCCTAAACCTGCGCCACGCATCGCCACCCACAGCGCTGGGCATATATTATAACCCGGACTACACTCTAGGCGCCCACTTTGAGTATAACCGGAAAACTACTGAATTTGTTCGTCAGGTGGCGGACAGTGACAAACACCCGGTGTTTGTCAATTGCATAGCTTTCAGAGACAATGAACTGGTGTTTGGGGCCGACGCCCGGCCATACGATGGCAACCCTACCAGAGCCAACATAACCAGCCTCTTAGGCGCCAACCCATCGATCATTACTGATCAGCGCTGGTCTGGTTTGCCGGTCAGTGCTCGGGTAGTGACCGGCGCCGACTCCCCGGACAACAATCGTCGCGACCTAAACATTGAGACAATAGCGGCCCTCCAGGTGTTACGTGTCAAACACGCGGCCGAAACACAACTGGGTGGTAATCAGAAAATAACCCAGTTAGTGTTAACTGTGCCCACACATTATACATATCGCCAAAGGCGGGCGCTGAGAGATGTAGCAAAACTGGCACAAATTGACCAGGATAAAGTCTATATACTGACAGAAATGACAGCAATTGCCATTTCTTACGCCATTAATGTTAAATTGGACTCAGAATTGATCATGATTGTTCTGGCCAATGAATTGGAATCTGAGTTGGCACTGTTTCGGGTCAATTGTGATTGTATTGATTATTTAGCATATAATACCATGAGCAATTATGTCAATGATAATAAGGGTGATCTCAATGTCAACAATAGATTGACTGATTTGTTGTCAAATATTTTTATGAAAACTAAAATGAATGAGAAAGATGTGTCAAAAATATTGTATTTC